CCATTGAGATAGTCTGTCCTCTATATGTACGCCCAATCTCGGGTGGGAGGTTTCGTTTTTATATTTCGTTTTGTCTATCTAACTCTACAATTGATGTATTGAGCACTATTTTAACAGTAGTATTTCTATATTGCTCTACAATTGATGTATTGAGCACTATTTTAACAGTGGTGTTTCTATATCGCTCTACAATTGATGTATTGAGCACTATTTTAACAGTAGTATTTCTATATCGCTCTACAATTGATGTATTTAGCACTATTTTAACAGTGGTATTTCTATATTGCTCTACAATATTGATGTATTGAGCACTATTTTAACAGTAGTATTTCTATATCGCTCTACAATTGATGTATTTAGCACTATTTTAACAGTGGTATTTCTATATTGCTCTACAATTGATGTATTGGGCACTATTTTAACAGTGGTATTTCTATATTGCTCTACAATATTGATGTATTGAGCACTATTTTAACAGTGATATTTCTAATTCAGCTAATTTCCAGCGTCCACTTTAACTGCAATTCAACCCAAACACTACATCGATGTTGACTCATTCTTTCTTTTTCTATGTTTTTAGGATTGGTGTGTCTAGGGAATCCAAGAACACAAGAAAATGCAAAGATCGCAAGCCACATACCGACAAACAGCTTTAAAGGGCAAACATTGAATTACTCATGCAATGAAGACCTGAATTACTTTTACCAAAGCGGCCCAATCTCAAGTGTATGTGAAGAGAACATGTTAGGAAGTCTAGAATGGATCATGGCAGATATGATATGTGGTAGGTATGAAAGTTTGATAGGGTAAAGGTGCGCCATATACTTCAACATTGCTAGGTTACGTGAGCCGCCACGTGTTTGTGCCAAAATAAATAATTTTTCACATTTAACGCAATAGGGTTATCATGAAGGAGATGTTCTCGGAATCAAAATACCAGTTGTTACTACAATAGAGGTTGTTACTACAATAGAAGTTGTTACTACAATAGAGGTTGTTACTACAATAGAGGTTGTTACTACAATAGGGGTTGTTACTACAATAGGGGTTGTTACTAAAATATAGGTTGTTACTACAATAGGTGTTGTTACTACAATAGAGGTTGTTACTGCAATAGGTGTTGTTACTACAACAGGAGTTGTCACCACAATAGAGGTTATTACTGCAATAGGTGTTGTTACCACAATAGGAGTTGTCACCACAATAGAGGTTGTTACTACAATAGGGGTTGTTACTACAATAGAGGTTGTTACTACAATAGGAGGTTGTCACCACAATAGAGGTTGTTACTACAATAGGGGTTGTTACTACAATAGGGGTTGTTACCACAATAGGAGTTGTCACCACAATAGAGGTTGTTACTACAATAGGGGTTGTTACTACAATAGAGGTTGTTACTACAATAGGGGTTGTTACTACAATAGGTGTTGTTACTACAATAGAGGTTGTTACTACAATAGGGGTTGTTACTACAATAGAAGTTGTTACTACAATAGAAGTTGTTACTACAATAGAAGTTGTTACTACAATAGAAGTTGTTACTACAATAGGTGTTGTTACTACAATAGAGGTTGTTACTACAATAGAGGTTTTTACTACAACAGGGGTTGTTACTACAATAGGGGTTGTTACTACAATAGGTTGTTGATACCACAATAGGAAGTTGATACCACAATAGAAGTTGCATTACTACAATAGGGGTTGATACTACAGTAGATGTTTGTTACAGCGTAAAAGGTAGTTTCTTTTCAGTCACTATTTTTGGTATATTTTCCGTATGTTTATGTGTATTTTTGGTATATTTTCAGTTTATAAATGTTCCAGACCACCAGAAACGTTCCCAGGAACTAAATACACATTACAGTCTGTGGAAGGTCAGGTTTTTGACCTTGGATACGAAGTAATCTACTCGTGCTCTATTATTTTCTTAAGTTCTGTAACTACTGCTCAATGTAAAACTTCCGGTTGGCAACTTGGAAATGGTGTAGATTTGCTGTGTGTAGTCGCTTAACTGGTGATTCATCTTCATGATCGATTGACCTTGCGAAACTGTGGGTGTCGAACGCGAAACAGACAATTCCTCCTCTTATCGACACCCCTGCTGGTACTTCTCTTTGGGTCCATACTATACAACTTTTTCTCCCGATTTTGCCATTCTTGGGACGAGATTTTTGAGTGACAGAATTGTCTAGCTTGAACAATTTTGTTTTTATTATGTCATGAAATCGAAATTTCTTTGATATATTCGTTGTATAGACGAGTGGGTGGCGCTTAGATGTGATATAACTAGTGTAAATTGAAGTTAGAGCACGATTTGCTCTGGACGAAAGTGTTCTTCGCAGATAATTTCTGACGTATTAACAAGGACTACTTCCTCGATTGACCAGACACCAAAAGGCACTTTCCAATTTTCATATGAATCTAAAGATAATTGGCCATTCGGAGACAGGACTTGATCATAATTCCCGTTTTCATGACGCCAATACATGCCCCCTTTAAGCCAATAACTATCAAAATATCTATCAGAGGATGGAGACTACTCATTGTTGACCTATTGACCCGTAGAACAATGGTCGAGGATTCACAGTGTGTTTCTAACTTCAAGTTAATCAGATAAATAAATGTCCAACATTTTGTAAATTAATTAATTTTGTGATTTAATTAAATAGTGATAAAAACGGCTAAATATTTTCTACAGTTATGACCGAACGAGTGATAGAGTTACGTCCCTTCTTAGGCTGGATGTGGAATGTATTCCAATGTAATCTTTATAAATTGTATTTGTAATGATGCGAATCACCAAAAAGACACTATTACTTAACACAGTTACGTCCCTTTTGAAAATACCTGTTGAATGAAACCCTTCAGCAGAGGCATGGCTTTTTCACAAGCTATTACGATCTTTATAGTGTCAAGCTATTACGATCTTTATAGTGTCAAACTGTTACGATCTTTATAGTATCAAGCTACTACGATCTTTGTAGTGTCAAGCTATTACGATCTTTATATAGTGTCAAGCTATTACGATCTTTATAGTGCCAAGCTGTTACGATCTTTAAATTGTCAAGCTATTACGATCTTTATAGTGTCAAGCTATTACGATCTTTATAATGTCAAGCTATTACGATCTTTATATAGTGTCAAGTTATTACGATCTTTATAGTGTCCAGCTGTCACGATCTTTAAATTGTCAAGCTATTACGTTCTTTTTATAGTGTCAAGCTATTACAATCTTTATAGTGTCAAGCTATTACAATCTTTATATAGTGTCAAGCTATTACGATCTTTGTAGTGTCAAGCTATTACGATCTTTATAGTGTCAAGCTATTACGATCTTTATAGTGTCAAGCTATTACGATCTTTATAGTGTCAAGCTATTACGATCTTAATAGTGTCAAGTTATTACGATCTTTGTAGTGTCAAACTATTACAATC